CACATTTCTGCAAAAAAGCGAAGCAAGCAATAAGCGACCTGCTTACACAAAAGGAAGAAGCGCGAGCAAGTGAACACTTACCTTTCTCAAGAATGATAAATAATTTGGCGTTATCCTCACAAAAGCATATGCCCTCAAGTGAGGAAGCAAGATGATCTCGTTAACGTTGTGCTATCTGTCGAAAAGGTTGTTGAAGCACTAAAGCCTCTGTAAGCTCGCAATGGGGAGAAAGTTCTGCTCGACATTAACTGCAAAGCAAAGACGCTCCTCAACAGATGGCTCACCCAACTCAGTGATCATGTATGCTATATACGAACCTACGATTATGATGTACGAGTTTGTGCACAGCTAGAGAGGGACGATGTCGAACCGTCTGTTGGAGTAGGTGCCCTAGAGCCAATCAATTATTGTAGAATTGACTCTCTGAAATAATGTTTATTAATCAATAAAAGGCAATTTTCTTCTATATCATGTAAACCATAATTGCGTGTATTGATATATGTCCTTAGGATGGTAGAATCGCGACGAGGGTATCAAGTGTTTCAAATCTTGATAGTGAGAACCCTATGATCACATATGGTGTCCATTCTGGAAATGTCCGTAGCCCTATTATTATTCTGACCAAGGACACAGATAATACGGTAAGACTATCATAGTGTTGAACAACCCTATTGAAAGACAATGATTGATCTCACTTGTCAAGGTTGTTTGTTGACAACCTAGTGCAACACATGGGTGCTTGTTGTAGGCAAGTTCACTGGACAGACCCACCTGAGGATTCCATATAGATGGCAACCCCAGTGTCTATAGAATAAATCCTCTAACGAATGGTGGTGCATGTGATCCTTAGACTTAAGATCACTGGAGCACCTCGTGCACCGATTGGTGTAGTTTGACACCATCCTAACGTAGTTCTATTCAGAGCTAATTCGATAGTGATTGGTTGCATTGAGAAGTGTATCAAGACTATGGTGGATCACAAAAGATTCATCACTCCTAAGTAAGGGAGAAGTTATCTCACGGCGCAATTCAATGAATGACAATGACTCTAAAGTTGTGGCCCCAGTGGGATTGAGTTGTTGCTCAATCCAATTTATTATTCCGGTCATTAGTTTAGTAACTGAATACAAAGATATCGAAGATAACTAAAATTGACACTATTTCTGTACCTTAGCCTCGATAAGATAACAGATGATGAAAGGATTTATTTGCACGATAACCATATCGTTTCGAATCTATCGGGTGGCCATAATGCCTTGCTAGAGGCCAATCTTGGTCTGTGTTCAGTGAGACGATTGATTGGTGTTAATCGCGAGACTGCTCACTGCCGATATGATGAGGAGCCTTCAGGTCACACACATAGAAGACAGGTTAAGGATGAACTAGTGAGAAAGAGTATTTTTCTCATTTATGATGGAAATGATATTTTCGTCTTTTGAGATGAAAGGGCATTTTGGTAATTTCACAGTGCAATTAAATTTGTTGAGGTTGTTGCCTATATTTAATTTCATATTGATATTAAAATTAGTGAGATTATGTATTTAAATATATTCATATATTTAAATATTATATAAATATTATTTAATATTAATATTTGATGATATTAATATTAGTGAAGATAATATATATGAAATATGAAATTCATATTTGAATTTAAATATATTTTCAATATTAATATTTGATGATATTAATGAAGATAATATATGAATATGAAAATCATATTTGAATTTGAATAAGATGCCATGTGGATTATTACCTTGTTTGGTAATGAGGATTTACTATTCTTGTCATGTAATAAATTTATTCCTAGGTAGATTAGGGTTTTAATTTTTGTTGCATATAAAAGGCAACTTAAAATTAAAATAAAATTTTGAGGAGAACACACTAATTAAATCCAAGCCACTCACCTCACTCTCTCTCATGTTTTGATCTTGGTGGAGAAGAGAATTTTTCTTGAAGAAAAATTATGCATCCTTTTTGCTTGTGTGTCTTGCTAGCACTTGAGACCGCAAGTCGATCGTCATCCTGTCTTCGTATGGATATTGAGAATTCACTCTTATCTTAGTGTTGGAGCAATTCATATCGATTGAAGGAGCCTCCAAACACAGGTATGAAATCTGGAAATTTTATATTCAATATCATTTCATGTGTAAATAATGTAAATCGGGTATAAGGTTCTTGGGTTCAATTTTGTTGTTGGGGATTTTATTTTTGTTTTCCGCCATGTAAACTCCATCAGCGACTAACAGTGGTATCAGAGCCTTCCTTATACCTCTTACGTTGTTATTCAACGTTTGGTTGAATTGATTTCAATATGTATCGATTATGTTATTGCATGATGTGTAAAAACTAATTTTTTTGTGTTAAAAATCTGCTACAGTTGATGTATTGCTAATCTGTTTTTTTTTTTTTTTTTTGGATATGTTTTTGGGGGATCGAAATCAAATAAAACTTGATTCTGATCAGAGTAGGATGCTGCCTTGTAGGGTGGCGTGTTGCTGCTATGTGCTGTTGCACACGACAGCAACAAGAAGCAATAGTTGTTGCGTGCTGCTGCATGAAGAGGAGTGTTGACCACATGCTCCAGCATGTGGCCTTGTGCTGTGCCACCGCAAACGGCACAGCAGCAGCCTTGTGTGACTACACCAAGGTTGCTACTGCACGCAGCAATGGAGCATGTGAATGCACCGCTACTGTCCTCTTAATTGGCTACTGTTTTGGGGTTGCCTTGTGGTGGCCAAGTGCTCCCAACACTTGGCCTTAGTTGGCCCTTGGTTTTTCAGCCAAGGGCATGATCTGGTGCACGTTAAAACGTGCACCAAATTTGGACTTTTTTTTTTGGCAGCCCATGTAAAGATGCAATAGGCTGAATTTTGGGTCGTGATCGCATTGTTGTATGATATTTAATCCATAATTTTCTAAAAAAATGTTGCTCCATGTTAGAAACATTCTGGAGGCCCAATTGAGTGAGTAAGGCTTAACTCAAGCAATCACTCAAGAGAAGAAAGGATTTGATTTTCGCTTGCCGGATTCGTAAAAAAGAAAGAAGAGGAAGCCGGGTCTTCTTTTTAGGGCAATAAATGGGCTGCGAATGAAAGAGCTAGGGTGGCAGCAAGAGTATCTCAAAAACTCGAGTTCAAGACCTCCGATTCCATTCCGATAACAAGGGACTAAAATGAAAATTTTAAAACTTGTTGGACTTAAAATGCAATGCTACCAAAATTCAAGGGGTAACTTGTAATTTACCAACCTAATCAAAATTAAATTTTGATTGTTTATGCATAATTCTTGTTTGTGAATATGCATGGTGCTTGGTGCATAAGCTTACGAACATAGTTTAATTGTTTTGGGTTATGTAATTTAAAATAGGGCCTACGTGCCCTACCTTTCTCTAAACCTCCAATGTAACTTCTTTCTCTCATCTCACTCCCCTCGAATGTAACGCGAGGTTTCTTTTCAATAATGTAAAATGTAATTTTATTTTTGAAAGTTGTGTAATGTTCAAGAAGAAGAAGCGATGGAAAGGAAGGAGGCAAAATTACTTGAAGAATCCATTTCCTTTTAAACCTAGGTTGACCTACCGATTTCTCTTGACTTGAGGAAATCGGTTTTAGTTAAGGCTATGCACCAACACGTTTATTTTATGCTTAGTATGCATGCTAAGGGTGTATGTTATGACTATAACATGCTAAGAAAGATAAAATTAGTGAGACATAAAATAAAAACCCCTAAACTAAAGTATATTAAGTCAAAATTGAAATGTCTTCCATCTCCATGAGTTTAATCAAACCACTGTTCGTCGGAACCTTGTTCGCCAAAACGAAGGGTACACTTCTACCATTGGGAGGTTAAATATCATTGGAGTTTTCCTTAATGGTGATGGGTTGACTTAAAATGATGAGTTTTGCTTGTTTGCCAAAGCGAAGGTTGATAAGCTCGTCATAGGCATAGTAGAGAAGTACACTTGTTGTGTGTACATGGCGGCATCACTATAACAAAAATGGCCTATGGTAACATGTAAAAAGTGTTACCGTAGGTAATTCGTAGCATTTATAAGGATGCTATGACAGCCCATGTTACTAAAAAGTAGACATTGGTAACACTTTTTGTGTGTTACTAATCATTTCAGTAACTGTCATAAAATGCTGTTGTTAAGTATATTGTAGCACTTATTCGTAGTTACAAATGATTTTTGGTAACACTGCATAAATGCTATAAATAAGTTTTCTATAACATTCTTAACCTGTTACAGTTTAATTTTCTGTAACATTCTTAACCTGTTACGGTTTAGTTTTCTGTAACATTCTCAAAATGCTATAAATAAGTGTTTTGTAACTTTCTTAACCTGTTACAGTTTAGTTTTCTGTAACATCTCAAAATGCTATAAATAAGTACTTTGTAACATTGTTAACCTGTTACAGTTTAGTTTTCTGTAACATTATTAAAATGCTACAGAAGAGATTTTAATAACATGTTAAAAGTGCTATCAAAGTATCATTCATTGCATTTAGTAAATGTTACAAAATTATTTTTCCATAACATTTTGAAAGTGGTATCAATGTGTCTGTTATAGCATATATAAAACTGTTATACTTGTTATTTAAATAATACAAATTATAAATAATGATACACTAATTTTCCAAATAACATTTCATTGATGGTGAACCTTCATATACAAAAAGTTTGCACATATGCCTAATAAATAGGCACCCAACATCCTTTACATCCATGAAATCTAATATGCTTCATATATCATATCACATTTTGTAACATATAAACCTTCATATACAAAAAGTTTTATATATGCCTAACAAATATGCACCTATCATTTTTACATTATAACACCTAGATGATTGGAAAATTAACTATGAGCAATAGTTAATACCTTCCAATCATTCAAAAAAATTCTAACAACAAAAACCATCATGCATACCATCTTCCATTCCAAATTGTGCTTTACTGAAAAAGTACTCTTGCATTTTCACAACCTACAAAACCATTAATACAAAAAAAAATCTTCAATTCCCATGTATATTCTCAAAGATAACAACACATATATATTGTAAATTCAAGAAAAGATTAAGACAAAAGCACCCCAAATATTAAATGCAAACGAAAGAGGAAAAGAACATGATTAAATCTTCAACTTCACAATCACTAGTTCTAAAAAATGGCACCATGCAGGTTTAAAAGAACATCTTTAAATATTCAACTTCACAATCACTAGTGCAAAAATGCCAACTGCAATTTTACAGACTGTAAACGGCAGTCTACAATTTGCATACTGCAGTTTGCAAAATGCAGATTATAGTTTGCAAAAATGCCGACTGCAAAATTGCAAACTGCAGTTTGCAAACTACCATGGCAGATTGTTCTACAGTAATATAGAGCTTGTTTCATACAATATTGCATGCTAAATCTATTGATCCTGCAGCTTAATTTTACTTGTATTTAGTAGCAGAAGCTTACTGATCAAGCTTGACTTTTGAACTGTGGGGCAAGTTATTGATAGAGTAAGGAGTGATGTGCTTCCCCAGTTGTCAACTTTTTGTTAATGCAGCTACAGTTTGTTGCAAATATTGAAAAAAAAAAATGTACAGGGTTGAATTAAATTAATAAACTTATTAAACATAAATTATATATAACTTACAACTGTATCAAGTAAAAAAGTTTACTCTAGTTGCATTGATTTTGGTAGCGTCTCTTTTTTTTGAGGCTGGGATTGGCTTAATTGGAGACAGAGAGGTGGGTGTGATTCGTACCCATTGCTAATAGTGTATGGAGGCTGGAAAATCTTGATTGCTGCATTTACTAACCAATAATTCATCATTGGTAATTAGTTTCAGATTATAAGATAAAACCAATACAACAGTCATCTATCATTCTAAATATATGAACATTTAAGCAATCTAAACTGAAAATAAGGATTAAAACCTATGTGGTCATAGATATGATCAAAAAGAAAATAGTTTACTAGCAATGCTATCAAGGAGACAGCCAAATGATCAGATTTCCCTGACAGATCCAAACACTTCTAGCAGTAGGTTTTAAAAAGTGATGCATTACTGAAATTATCGTTTAATGACTTAATATAAAAGAAGTCACTCAAGACACAAGCACAGAAAAGAAGTCTACTATACCTTCATCTTATACCCATTCTCAAGAACTTTCAACAGTAAAAACAGCACCACGCATGTTCATGTGACGATTCTGCAATGAACGCAATACTTCAAAGCACTAGAAACAACATATGATTGATAAGAAAAACAAATAACATCTGGATTTGTCTTAAACATCAGCAATCCTCACTCATTGACATGACGAAGCAATTTACAAATATTCAATATACTCCTTAAAAATTGACATGCAAACATTACCAATAAAACAAGATACAAGAAATAGACAGGTCACAAACTCACTAAATGGCACCTGAAGCGTTTAATAAGAATTTTACCAATTATGCAAACTAAAACCTGATCCAAACGCAAGAGGCCTCACTAAAGAGCACATTAAAAGTCCTAAAGAAACAATCATTTCAGCTACTTTTCTGACAAATTCCACAACTTTACTGGCCTTCTTTTTCTTTAAGAACATAAACGTTGGCCAAGTTGCCACTGGAACACTATCCCTCACTTGTATGCAATTACCAACCTCTTATTAGCAATTACCAACAAACCCACCATATGCAGAGCAAAAAAAAAAAAAAAAAATCAGTCAAAGAACCTTCCATTTGCAGTTGAATTGACAAGAGTAACAATGGTTATTTCAGACTAAAAAAGTAGATGAATTAATATGTTGAACATGTCTACGAATACCTTTTAGTGTTGTTTTTAATCTTTACACAAATGACCAAACATACCATAGATCAAGAAAACAAAGAAAAGAACATGCGAATACTGTGAAATAAGTCTCACCCAAGAAATTTTGAAACTCACTTTCGCTAATTTCGCTGGTCGCTTCTTCATGCGCCCATTATTAAAGACTAGGCCGATAGCCTTGGATTTCTCTTCATCCAACACAGGTTTCACCTAAAACCCCCACAAAGATAAATTAAAAAAAAAAAAAAAAGTCAAATTACCGAATCAATAGCCAAGAAAAAAGCCCTCGAAAAACCTAGTCTTTGAGAAAAATTCAAGATTTAAATAAGCGTTAATACGTGTAAAAAACTATATATTTATACCTTTTTCTGAAGCGGCTCTAATTGCATTGATGTTTGCATTCCCATGAATCAGGTGAAAGAAGGTTTCCTGGAATTCCTCTCTATGGAAGGGTTAATACAAAATTGAACAACAACAGTCACCCCATTCAAAGCTTCATTGCATGAATCAGGTGAATAAAGGTTTCCTAGAATTGCGAGACAAATTACAGTTACTATTTATCAAGTATAAGGTCCTCATGATAATCACTAGCCAAGAAAAACCCACTACAGTACAATTAAAGAAAAACCCTAGGCAAATGCAAGCAAAAAAAGGATAAAAAAACAATTGTGAATAATAAATTTAATCAGGGTCTTTAGGTTTCACAATAATGTTAACGAGGAAATTGAAAGAAAGTGATCGTGAATGTTTACCAATTAAGTGCTTTTCTTCAAAGCTCTCTTGACTTCACTATGAAAGCAAGTAGTAATACTATGGAGAAGATGAGGGGAACAGAGTGGAGAAGAAGAGGGGAACATAGTGGAGAAGTCCAGATTTCAAGCGTACAATGGAGAAGAAGAGGCGAACAGAGTGGAGAAGTCCAGATTTCAAGCGTCAAATGGAGAAAAAGAGGCAAACGGAGTGGAGAAGTACAGATTTTAGGCTAAAATGGAGAAGAAGAGGCGAACAGAGTGGAGAAGTACAGATTTCAGGCTAAAATGGAGAAGAAGAGGCGAACGGAGTGGAGAAGTACAGATTTCAAGCTAAAATGGAGAAGAAGAGGCGAATGGAATGGAGAAGTCCATATTTCAGGCAAACAAATGGAGAAGAAGAGGCGAATGGAGTGGAGAAGAAGAGGCGAACAGAGTGGAGAAGTGGAGAGAAATTTATGTTGCCTTAGGGTAAAATTACTTTTGGGGATTTTGTGTATCAGATGAGTGACGATGCAATGGAGAAGTTAGAGTGTTTAATTTTTCTTACTTCTTTTTAATTTTAAGGGTTCAAACAATTTTGTTTAATTAAGGATTTTGGGTTGGTGGTATTAAAGTGTTATTTTCCCCGTTAATATTTGGGTATTGTAAAGCAATTTTTGGTCCCTATATGAATGAAAAGTGACAAAATAAACCCAAATAATATAATTGGACCCCTAAACAATAAAAATGAGACAAAATCAACCTCATTTCATGTTGGCGGGAATTGTTTCCCGTTAAATAATTGGGTTTATGGTAACACTTATAAAATGTTACTGTATTTTGATTATATGGTAACATTATAAAAAAGCTACTATATTACTAGGTCTATTGTAACACTTTAAAAATGCTACTGTAGTTCCAATATTAGTAACATTTTACAAAAAAGAGTTACCATTGATATAAAATGTGTTGCAAAAAGTTAAAGTGTTACATATAAAAATTGTTATTGTAACATTTTAACATCAAGTGCTACCATAAATAGTTTACAGTAACACTTTAAAGAAAAGTGCTACTGTGCAGTGCTACCGTAGACCATTTTTGTTGTAGTGCATGTAGTGTCCACCCTACTGTTACTAAGAATCACACTTGAGGACAATGGCTTCGGTCATCGTATTGTGTGATTGGCTTGTTGGCTTGTTTCACATTTGAGGTTGGTAGTGGGAGCTATCAACTGATGTGGATTAAGTTTGTTAGCCTACCTAATCAACCCATTTTAGCTTGTTCGCCAAAGTGAAGGTTTGAAATTGGCTAGATGGGATCTCAGTCCACTAGGAAAGCCAACGTGCTTTTCTGAGTTAATAGTGAGAGCTATTGGCTTGAGGAAAATAGTGGGAGAAATTATTTAATAAAAGGTCTTATTACATAATAATAATAATAAACATTGTAATAACGCTTACTTATTCTGCACTTGTAGATTCACTTAAAAATTGAGCAAATATGATCCCATCATCACTGTGACAAATCATCGAACTGGAAGACAAATTGAATGGTGAGAATTTCGTTGACTGGTATAGAAGTATAAACAATATACTTCAGTCAAGCGATAGATTATACACCATTGAGCAGACTTTGTCACCAGAGCCTATTGATAGTTCTATCCATCAAACTTGGTATGTATATAGGAAGCATATACATGATGCAAAAGTAGAAATGGCAAGATACATTATGCTTGCATCAATGACACCATTACTGCGACAGTAGTACCAGAACTTGGACTTAGCTTCTATTCTTTATTTTCTCCAGAGAAATGAGAAGTATATGGTGTCTCGATCATTGTTCAAATGCAAGATGGAAGAGGGTACCAAAATTGGCAATCATATACTCACGTTGACTGAGTATATGAACAAGCTTGAGATTTTGGGATGCAAACTTAATGAGGGTTTAGCAATAGACCTAATATCACAGTCTTTGCTAGATTCTTGCTCTCAATTTGTCTATGACTTCATTGAGGATTATAAGAAGAATACCCTTTCTGAGCTTCTGGATATCTTAAAGGCTACTGAATCAGGCATGAAAATGTCAAAAACATTGACGTTGGTTGAAGCCAACTCAAGTGAGAAGGAAAAGGCTCAGAAGTCGTTGGAAGGAACTATTGTAGATAGGAAGGGCGTTTGTCCTCACTGTGGGAATCCCAGCCACTAGAGGAAACATTGCAAGACCTTCCTAGCAAAAAGGAAGAAGAATGCTACTTCTTCGTCAGGTACTTTCATGATTGGGATTAACTTCTCTCGTCAACACCTTGGGTCATTGACACAAGGTGTGGTACTCACATTTGTTATGATGTACAAGAACTACGGTAAAGTAGATTGCTCATCAAGGGAGAGGTAGACCTATCAGTTGGAAATGGAGCATGTGTTGTTGCATTAGTTGTAAGATCTGATCATCTGATTTTGCCTACGAGCTTGTTACTTGGAACTTGTGGATTATTATGATTTTTCCTTGATTTCTAGAAATAATATTTCTATGTCCACTTAGGACAAGTAAGAATATTACTTTACTAATGGATTGTTGTCCTTGAGTATAAATAATATTCTTTATGGAACTGTTTCATAATAATATGTTCTTAAATAGACAATAAGGATATTCTCAAAATAACAACTATGCCAAGTCGAATTAAAGATACCTGAAGGAATGTGGGACAATATCAAAACTCACCCCTCTGTTTACACCCCAACACAATAGAGTGTCTGAAAGAAGGAATAAAACCTTACTTGAAATGGTTAGGTCCATGATGAGTTTTAGTGATTTGCCTACATCATTTTGGGGTTATGCCCTAAAGACTGCAACTCATATACTGAATTGTGTGCTGTCAAAGTCTATAGATAAGACTCCATATGAACAATGGACAGGGTGAAAGCCCAACTTGTCTTATCTAAAGATTTGGGGTTGCAAAGCTTATGTCAAGAAATTGACTTCAAACAAGCTGGGCCCAAAATCTAACAAATGTATATTTGTGGGGTATCTTAAGGAGACTAAAGAATACTATTTCTACCACCCAGAAGAGTGCAAAATTTTTGTTGCTCATACTGATGTTTTCTTAAATGGAATTTTTCCTAAGAAGTACTAGTGGGAGAAAAGTAGGACTCAATGAAGTTCTAAAACCACAAAATGCATTAGAAAAAGGACCGGAGGATGTGCCACAAGAAGTGGTTGAATATCGTGAGGAGGTCACTCCACAATCCATAGATGAAAGTGATCGACCTCAAGTAGCACATGAGCTACGTAGGTCTAGAAGAGTACGTCATGAGCCCAAGAGATATGGTTTTCTCGTAACTTAACATAGTGGCGTACTGGTCTACCAAGACAACGAATCCATGACCTACGAAAACGCTATATCGGATCTGGATTCCATTAAATGGCTTGAAGCTATGAAATCTGAGATGAACTCCATGTACCAAAACCAATTATGGTTTCTGGTGTATCCACCTTAAGGGGTAAAACTCATAGGGTGTAAATGGGTCTTTAAGAAGAAGACTGACATGGATGGCAAGGTGCATATCTATAAGGCACAAATGTTTACCAAAGGTTTCAAAAAAATTCATGGTATTAACTATAAACAAACCTTTTCGTTGGTTGCCATGATTAAGTCTATCCTGATTATGCTTGCGATTGTTGCATATCACAACTGTGAAATTTGGCAAATGGATGTCAAAATGGCTTTCCTGAATGAAAACCTTGAAGAGGATGTGTATATAACACAACCCAATGGTTTCATTCTTGATGGACAAGCTGATAAGGTATGCAAGTTGCAGAGGTCCATTTATGGACTCAAGCAAGCTTCAAGGAGCTGGAACATTGGTTTTGATGAAGCTGTAAAAGAATTCGGTTTTGTCAAGAACAAAGATGAGCCATGTGTTTACAAGAAAGTGAGTGGGAGTGCAGTGGCATTCCTGGTGTTGTATGTCGATAACATACTTCTCATCGGGAATGATATACCACACTTGCAGCTGGTAAAGACTTGGTTATCCAAGTGCTTCTCCATGAAGGACTTAGGAGAAACAGCCTACATCCTTAAAATAAAGATCTACCAAGATAGATCACATAGGTTGCTTGGCCTAAGTCAAAGTACATACATACACAAGGTACTGAAGAGACTCAGTATGGAAGAATCCAAGAAGGGATTTCTTCTGATGTCACATGGTGTCTATCTCTCTAATGATATGTGTCCTAAAACACATGATGAAAGAGATAAAATGAAGAGGATCCCATATGCATCAACAATTGGATCCATCATGTATGCCATGTTGTGTACTCGGACTGATGTCTCATGTGCATTGAGCACTTGTAGTAGATATCAATCGGATCCAGGTGAGTGTCACTAGATAGCTATCAAGAACATCCTTAAGTACTTGAAAAGGACTAAAGACATTTTCTTGGTTTATGGAAGGGAAGACGAGCTCACTGTAAGAGGATACAGTGATGCTAGTTTCCAAATGGATAAAGATGATTTTCGCTTACAATCCGGGTTTATATTTTGTCTCAATAGAGCTTTTGTGAGCTAGAAGAGCTCGAAGCGAAGTACTTCAATGGATTCTACAACTGATGCTAAGTATATCACATTATCTAATGCAACCGTGTAGGTGATTTGGATCAAGAAGTTCATTACTGAACTACATATGATTCCAAGCATTGCTAATCCAGTAAAGTTCTATTGTAACAACAATGGAGCCATTACTGTGGCTAAGGAACCACGGTCTCTGACAGGCTTTTCGCAAGTGTACGAAATCACGCAAATAGTAAAGCTTGAGTAAACGAGTGTCAAATCCCAGAGAACTACCTTCCAAGTACCAAACTAGTATATTTTATTGCTATTTGACAAAACATAATTTTAAGAATGGTTTAATTAAAAATAAAACAAACTAAACACTAAAAAAAAGCATAATTGTATTAATACTCTGGTAAAAAGATTAATATAACTAAACCTAGGGCACAAATTTCACACCAATTAAATCCTATGCATTGACAATTATTGCTAACATAATCAAGCTTATTCTAAAGGCCAAACTCCCTAATATTCCATTAACTTTCTCTCGAACAATTTGCGAATTAACCCTTAAGCAACAACCCAAAATATCTCTAAGTTGGATTTAGAAGCTAAGAAAACATTAAGTTCTATGGAATTTACCAGAACCTCATAGACCATGGTAACCTATCTCTAGCGTTCGCTCAATCTATGGTTTTATTACCTTAGACTAATCAGGTTTCATCTCTCGATCTCAACCCAACCCATGATATCAGTCAACTCTCAGATCCAAAAGAATTGAAAGCATTACAAATAATAATAAAACTTAGAATTAATGCTCAATTAAATTAACAACAATAACGTCAACACATATTCATAAATTGGGCTACATCTTTAGCCCTAGAAAAGGGTTTAGTTCATAATTATAGCAAGAAAAACAACCATTATATTAACAAACATGAGTTCAAGAAAGAAAAATAGAAAAACTTCTCTAATTGGCAAACGAAAATTGCAAGAATTCCAATCTCCAAAATAGTCGCCGCCATTTTCCCTTCTCTCCTCTGCTCTCCTAAAAACTAATTAAAGACCCTTATTTATAGTGATAGGCTTTAGAGGTTAATTAGGAAAGAATTAAATGCCTTAAATCATTCAGATTCGGACTCGGAGAATACAATAACCCAAATAGGCCCGTGATCCATTGATGCAGCGATTAAAAATGGTCGCTGCAGCAATCATTCTTTCTGTCCCACAAGTCTGGAATATTCAAAATTTTGTGAAGTCATCAACATAAACTTTGTAGCGCTCTGAATAATCTTTCCAATGCCAGAAGAATCATTGAATTCCAATTTCTATAGCTCAAGTTATGATCAAAACATCGAAGCATGCTCATCTTGAAGGATTTCCAGGTTTTACGTCATATATTCAACGCGTCAAAACTTTCTCGTTTCAACTCTGATTCTTGCACTGTTTGCTCCTACTCGTCATGAATTCCATCGAAATCATTCTTCTTCATTCAAATATCATTTTTAACCTGAAAATACTCAAAATACACCCATGATCCCATAAAAGGTATTTATGAAATAATTAACTCAAATTTCACATTAAAAACACATTTTTCCACAAATAATCAAATTAAATCACTAGAAAAATATGTATTTTCAAGCTCTTATCAGTCTCACCAGTGATCCAAACACTTACTTAGCTGATTCAATCTGATATAAGAAATCGATCAGAAAAGGGGATGTGTGGATTTGCAGAATACCTACTAACCCATAGTTAAAGTTTATGTTGCAGCAGAAGCTTGATGGGCACTTAGGGTCATTCGGTGTTGAGCAATGTTCTCAAACCCAGACCGGACCAGGCTGTCGAACCGATCGGACCGGGTTTCGGTGAAATTTTCGGGTTGTAAAGAGTAAAAAACTGGGATTTTGAGTTAGACCATTTCAAACCACGGTTGGACCGTCTCACTGTAGCAAACTGACGGTCCAACCGGTATAACATCCAAAACCGGTCCAACCTCCCATCCGGTCCACTAACAAATTGAAAAGGCAAAAAGCAAACCCTAAAGTTAAAGTGTCAAACCCCCAATTTTTTTAAGTTTAACCCATTTTTATTTTTGCTTTTGCGGTTCAGCTGTGGCGCTGCTACTTTGCTCTGCGTGCGACTCCTTCAGCTTGGCCCTCCTCCAGTTTGCTTTTTATTTTTCAGTTTGGCCCTCCTCCAATTCAGTTCAGTCTTCCTCCTCCATTCGCGATCTCCTTCAGCTTCAGCCTTCAAGCGTGAATCAGCCTGCTTCTTCGGTTTGCCTTCTCCAGTTCAGTTCGTGATCTCCTCTATTCGTGATCTCCTTCAGCTTTAGCCTTCAAGTGTGAATCAGCCTGCTTCTTCGGTTTGCCTCCTCCGATTCAATTCGCGATCTCCTTCAGCTTCAGCCTTCAAGTGTGAATCAACGGTCAGCTTGAATTTTTCTGTCTTCTATTTCATCATGATATTGTATTTCATCATGATATTGTATATTTGTATTATTGTGGATCTATGAATGTGATGTGAAATTCTGAATCACTGAATCTGTCAATTTAAATTTTGAAACTCTTAAAACTGATTTCTTATTGTGAATCTATCATTTGTCAATTGAATTTCTGAAAGACTGAAGCTGTAAAATGTAATTTCTCATGGGAAATTAGAAATTGATGGTGAAAGTTTCACCGTGAAGCTTCATTACAGGATTAGAATAATTGAAAGTGGGAGTTTATTCATGATGTGATAAACTGATAAATGATAATAACGTAGATGTATTTTCAATTTTCATATAGTTTTTCTTGGCTTCACTACTAGAATTTGGTGAATAACAATAGCCAGCGGGTGTGCTTCTAGTTGCTAGGAATATTGGAATTTTTATTAATTTTTATTAACTTTTATAAGACACTAATGGCATCTCGATCAAATTATGATCAGAAATTTAGAACACACGGTAACTACTCTTATTTACTGTCACTTGTTACTTGTATATTAATCCCGGCCATGGCTTATGAAATATGAACTAAAACTAAGTTATGATCAAAAAGTGTTTGCTATTGAGATTTATATTTAAACATTTCAATTGTAATAGTCAAATACAACTGAGAATCCAACATGAGTAACATGATGAGTACATAAATAAGAAATTTTCTCATTTACATGATGCTGCCATAAAATAAAATGCTATTAGAAATTCATATTTTTTTTCTATATACATATAATATGAATTGATTTTATATTGATTTAAAGTTATGTCTCATAAATTATAACAAATTGATTGTTGGTTGCCACTTGCTAGGGGAGAGAATGTCATCATCTTCATCTGCACATAACTCATCAGCTGCGTCCATTTCCTCTCAATCTTTTCGAGGAAAGACTGATATAGCATGGGGACATGTTCTTGAGAGTGTTGATAAAGATGGAAAGAAAATATTATCTTGTCTTCATTGTGGCAAGGTTACTAGAGGTGGTGGTATTTTCTAAATGAAGTAACACCTAGCAGGAGTAAAGGAGGATATTGGAAAGTGTCTAAAGGTTCCATTTGATGTTACATTCCATATGAATGAATCACTAAAAAAAATAGGAGTAAAGAATAAGGAAAAGGAATATTTCTGGAAGCATGCAACTCCTTTTGGTGCTACAGTACATGAATTTGAGGGTGATCAGTTAGATGAAGAAAATGAAGAGGTTTTCCCATCACAAATGACCATGAATGAAGGTGGTAGTAATGGCGGTAAAAAACAATTTCGAGCAATAAGAGAAAGTAACATACGGGGGTTAATTATTTTGCTCCACGAACTACTTCTAGGTCTCAGCCTTCAATTAGGAGTGTTTTGGCTGGAAAAGATGCAAAGTAAAGAGCAGGCATGTCTGTTGCACGATTCTTTTATGATGTTTGCATCCCAATGAATGCTTTAAACTCAATTTATTGTCAGCCTATGTTGGATGCTGTAGCTGCAATTGGCCCTGGTTATAAACAACCTAGTTACAATGCTATGCATGTGAATTTATTGAGAGATGCTAAGAAGGAAGTCCAATTACTTGTTGACAATTATAAGAGTATTTGGGAAGAGGTTGGATGTACATTAATGGCTGATGGTTGGACTGATACTTACCATAGGTCATTGATTAATTTTCTCGTATACTGTCCTAAAGGTGTTTGCTTTATAAAATCAGTGGATGCTTCAGATGTTGTAAAGGATGCCTTTACATTGTTCAAGTTGTTTGAGAAAATGGCTTTATGGGTTGGACCAAACAATATTGTCGATGTTATCACGGATAATGGAGCAAATTTTAAAGCTGCTGGAAGAATGTTGTCTGAGAAGTATGAGAATATTACTTGGTCGCCCTGTGCAGCACATTGCATAAATTTAATTTTGAAAGATATATCTGAGCTGGACCACATAGTGCATCTTGTAAAACGTGCTTCTGAAGTAACCAAGTTTGTGTATAATCACACAATTTGAATAGCTTGGTTGAGGAAAAGGGAGGTAATAGCTTATAAACCTTTAACTCATGTTTTTGTCAATTTATTACATAATAAACATTTAGTAATAATTTACTAACATCTATTATGTATGTATCACTTGAACAGGGTTGGAAAGAAATCATACGACTGGGTGCAACTCGGTTTGCTACTACTTTCATTGCATTAAGAAGTCTACATGAGCACAAACATGACTTGCAAGCTATGGTGACTGATAGGTTTTTTGTGGACTCTCGATATGCCAGAAGTAGTAAAGGCAAGAATGTTATTCTCATAATTCTAGATAATGAATTTTGGGATGACATGGGTTTAGTTTCCAAAATTGTGGCTCCTTTGATGCGTTTGTTGCGAATTGTAGACTCAGATGAGAAACCTGCAATAGGATATGTGTATGATGGCATGCATAGAGCCAAAAAAGCGATCAAGAAGTTCTTTAAAAAGAAAAAGACATTGTACAAGCCTTATACCAAAATTATTAAGCTACAGTGGGATAGGCTTTTGCGCCACGACATTCATGCTGCTGCCTATTATTTGAATCCAGCTTTTCAGTATGAACGTGCAACTTTCTACAAGAAACCAGAGGTTATGCGTGGTTTCCTTGATGTTGTCGACAATAAAGCAAGTGCATTCAAGTTGAACAAAACAAAGTTAATGGACGAAAGTAGAATATATCGAGACCGCGAGCAAAGCTTTTCTCGTCAACCCAAAATTTTGTCGAACCGGTCGTTACAGTCACAAAATTAAACCTAAATACTATAGTTAGCGATAAGCAGGGTCAAATCTATAGGGAGCAAGACTAACAACCTAATGTATTTTGAGTAGCGGAAATGAAATTGGCAATTTGATTAATGAAACTAAACAAACTAAATGCAAATAATAAAAGAGTGAAATTAAAACTAATAAAGACTTTATAATAAAAACGTTGCCGTTACAATTTTGGTTCGACACGAGACCAACTCACACAATTCTCTTCCACCCTCTACGATCCCCTAAATCTACAAGGCAAGGTAAATCAATGAAATAGTTTGCCGGCACTCTAGGTATAATCTATCCTATCTCACCCGATCACTCAAGTTCGATTGGTTAAAGACTATCATTAAATGTCGATAAACACTACAAGACAATACCACTAGTTGGCACGCAATTAACAAATACAATTTGTCCACACGTATCTTCCAAACAACCAACTTCACAATAAACACAACAATAGTAAAAATGAAATTAAATCGAAACACAACTCAATTACAATCGATGCGAAGTAATGAAAAGCAATATTCATCATTTAATTATTTCAAACCAACGTTTATCATTTAGCGAGTTCTATGAAAACATTAAATCACAATGGACAACAATATTCATCACAAATTATGCTCAAACCATATTAAAGTATCGAAATCAAACATGAAACGAAAACAAATATAATCCGAAGCACAATACTACCAAATGTCCTAAAATCGGGCTCATCCAACTAGTTGAGAGCTGATGAGTAGAGCCGTGGAGTCAATCTCTATCTCGCCTACATCGTAACAGACAACCAAGAACTTAGTCGCTCATGGTGGTGAAGACGGAGGCTGAAACGGTGGAAACGAAGCTGATCATGGTGGAGAGCAGGTAACCGACAGCGATATGATGCCAAGAAAGGGCGAAAACGACCAACGGACAGCTCGAAATACGAACAGTCGCACTCATCAAAAAACGTTAATTTTCTGGCGAGTCTTCCAGAAAATGGTGGCGGAAATGGGATCCGAAGGTACCGATGGAAAGCTCTGATGATGGGGAGTTCAGATCAAGTCTTGGGGGGTGAAAGGTCACCGAAAATGAGCAAGAACTTGGCTAGAAGATGAAGAGGCACGAAGGCTAGATGGCGAATTCCGACAGTTTTCGCGGTAGCTAAAGCTTGGAATGGGTAGATTCGGCCGTGAGGAAGGAAGATCAAGTCCTGGGGAGCTGAAACGTCGTCAAAAAATGGCGAAATCTGGCCTGGAATGCGAAACGTCGTGGCGGCAGAATATGAAGAGTCGCGGCGTTTCGCGTGATTTGCGGTGGTGGTTTGTCGTGGTTTTGGTCAGTGCTTATGGAAGGTGAAAGGTCGCCGGAGATCACCGAAAATGGGAGAGGAAAAGTCCTCAGAAAATACTGTGGATGGGTGTCAGCGCTGTGGCTTTTTTACGCTTCATCTTCTTTTATACACAAAGTGAAAAATATCACTTTGGTCCTTGCATGATTGAAAAGTGACAAAATCAGCCCTTATAAATATGACAGTTTACCCCCTAAACAGCATAAATGAGACAAAATCACCTCTAATCCATAAATCACAACCTAATATCAACTCATATCCTTTCCAAAATCATTCCAAACACGTTAAATTCATAAGAAAAATATTAGGAAGCGATTTTCGTGAATAAATTCATAAATTCTTTAATTGTCTCAATATACTTCAATTTAATCACATATGGGTTATTTTTATCACCAAAATAGAGTAACTTTCATGACTCTAACACTTGCCTTTCAAACTTGCAAAACCACATGACCTAGTATGTGAAACTTATTAAATTTCTCAATTTTAAGTACAATTTCTAAGTTATGAATTTATGTTTATTTCATTATTTCATATGGTTAACACTTTAACTTTCAATTATATGAATGGTGGAGGACATATGGGTATAGTACCCCACACTTACAACAGTTTGCAATTAAAATTTTGAGCCAAACTTCAACCTCTTCGGGATGTGAGCGAAATTGGAGTGTTTTCAAACGCATCCATACAAAAAGAAGGAATAGATTGGAGCACCAACGGTTGAATGATTTGGTTTTTATCCATTATAACCTGCGTTTGAAAAATAGGTATAATGCATTGACAATTTTAATATTTTTATCATCTCGTATTTTTATTAATATTTTTATTTGGCGTGTCTTTCAGGATGTGTTACAAGAAAAGCAGTTGTGATCCTATTGATTATGAAAGCATTGACAAAACAGAATTTTGGATTGCTAATGATGAACAGGAGGGTGATGAATTCAATTTAGATGAATTGGAGCAAGCACTTTACGAAGAAGGATCTATTCTTATCGGTGTTGATGATCAACCCTATTATAATTCAGCAGGTGGTTCACAAGGTTGTTTTCCAACTTTTAACCAACTTGGTAGCTATTTGAAATTATAATATCAAAAACAATGTACATTATAAGTTTTAACTTATGTTTTTAATTTTTGCTAAATTTGTAGTTGATGGTGATGATAATGACGATGACTCGGATGATGATGTGGATAATCAATTTAGGATGGGTTGAACCGTTGAAGACCATGGATGGTGGTTTGGTTGGTCGAATGGATTAATATTGTGCAATTTTATATATTGGTTGGTGGATTGGTATTTTGATATTTTGTAATTTTGTTTGTTTGTTGGTTGATGGATCATGGATTCATATTTGATATTACTTTGTATTTTGTAATTTGTAATGCCTTTAATGATGTTTGAAAATTGAAACTTTAGAGTTTAGACTTGAGTTGAGGATTGAATTTCAGAATTTGTAAACAATAAGTCATTAACTATCAAACTCTGATGGTTTTAATGTTTTTGTAGGGTTTGTTTAATTGTTTTTAGATTTTAGTTACATACAAAATCTGAAATTTTTCAATTTTTTTTTTTTTGTTTTTGCTGATGTCACCGGTCCGACCGGTCTAACCGTGCAAACCGGGAACCTGACATTTTGGCGGGTCGACTCCTGGTCCAGTTTTCAGAACATTGGTGTTGAGTACATGAATGATTGGCTATAGTGCAAGAGGGAGATTGTTAGAGTAGATGCCCTAGAGCCAATCAATTGTAGTAGAATTGACTCTCTAAAATAATGTTTATTAATCAATAAAAGGTAATTTTCTTCTATATCATGTAAATCATAATTGCGTGTATTGATATATGTCCTTAGGATGGTAGAACTGGACAAGGGTATCAAGTATTTCAAATCTTGATAGTGAGAACCCTATGATCACATATGGTGTTCATTCTAGAAATGTCCGTAGCCCCAGTATTATTCTTGTTGGAGTAGGTGCCCTACAGCCAATCAATTATTGTAGAATTGACTATTTGTAATAATGTTTATTGATCAATAAATAGCATTTTATTCTATATCTTGTAAATCATTATTATTGCAATATGTATTGATATATGTCCTTACAATGGTAGAACTGTGACGAGGGTATCAAGTGTTTCAAATCTTGATAGTGAGAACCCTATGATCACATATGGTGGTCATTCTAGAAACGTTCGTAGCCTCAGTATTATTCTGAAGTAAGGGCACAGATAATACGGTAAGGTTATCATAGTGTTGAACGACCCTGCCGAAAGACAGTGACTGATCTCACTTGTCAAGGTTGTTTGGTGAAAACCTGGTGCAACACATGGGTGCTTGCTATAGGCGAGTACACCGCAGCAAGTTCACTGGACTGACCCACCAGAGGATTCCACATGGATGGTAACCCCAGTGTCTATGGAACAAATCCTCTAACGAATGGTGGTGCATGTGATCCTTAGACTTAAGAACACTGGAGCGCCTTGTGCACCGATTGGTGTACTTTGACACTAGTCTAACACAGTTCTTTTCAGAGCTGTCAATACGATGGTGATTAGCTGCATCAAGGAGTGTATCAAGACTATGGTGGATACACAGAAGATTCATCACTCCCGGCTGCGGGAGAAGTTATCTCATGGCGCAATTCAGTAAATGGAAATGACACTAAAACTGTGGCCACAGTGGGATTGATTTGTTGCTCTATCCAATTTATAATACAGGTCATTGGTCCAATAACTGAATACACAATATCGAGAGTAACCGAAGGTTGACACTATTTTATGCCTCGGTCTCCTCTAGATAACGGATGATGAAAGGATTGAATTATCCGGTAACCATATCGTTGATAGGTAGCTACTTTGCTGAATCTGAATCTATCGGGTGGCCATGATGACTTGCTAGGGGCCAATCTTGGTCTATGTGTAGTGAGACTATTAATTGGTGTTAATCATGATACTACACACTGCCGGTATGATGAGGAGCCTATGGGTCACACACATGGAAGATAATTTAAGAGCCAGGAAATTAGAAGGGCGTTTTCGTCTTTTTGGGCGAAAGGGTATTTTGGTAATTTCACAATGCAATTAAATTTGCTGAGGTTGTAGCCTTTATTTAATTTGTTAGAAAAATTAAATAAGTGAAATTACGTTTAAATATATGTTCGCATATATTTAAATAAGTTATCATTATTGTTAAATGTTAATATATATATATATTAATTGATTTTAATTGAGATAATGATGAATTAAAATAAACATCTAATTGGAAGTGTTTGGAAACAAGGGGTGTTTGGGTTGGAGCCCAAGCCTATTCCATATGGGAATAGGGCAATTAAACTTTACTATAAAAGAAAAAGGTTAATTGAAAAAGAGAAGAGATTTTCATTATTTTCAATTGATTGAAAAAGAGAAAACACACAACCCCTTTTGCTCTCTCTCACGCCAGAATTCATGTTTGATTGAAAATCAAATACTCTTCATTTCTTCTTGATTCTTAAGGCTAAAGAGGATCTAGCAAATCCCTCTTTAGTTCCTTGCGATTGTCTTCGTGTGGACTATATCGGTTCGATCTTACACTTGGGTCGGTAGCAAATACATTCTAAGATAATTTGGAGGAGCCTCCAAACGTGCGTATGATTTCTTAAACTCTAGATTAATTTTCTGCAGATTCTTATTTTGATATAAACTGTAAAATTGTACCCTGATCTTGGTTGTATGGAACGATCCTTGTTATTATTATTTTTGTTTTCCGCAGCGTAAATGGATCGCTTCCTAACAATTCTGACCAAGGACACAGATAGTACGGTAAAGCTATCATAGTGTTGAACGACCCTGTGGAAAGACAGTGACTGATCTCACTTGTCAAGGTTGTTTGCCGACAACCTGGTGCGACACATGGGTGCTTGTTGTAGGTAAGTTCACTGGATAGACCCACCAAGGGATTCCATATAGATGGTAACCCCAGTGTCTATGGAATAAATCCTCTAATGAATGGTGGTGCATGTGATCCTTAGACTTGAGATCATCGGAGCACCTTGTGCACCGATCAGTATAGTTTGACACTAGCATAACGCAGTTCCATTCAGAGCTATTAATACGGTTGTGATTGGCTGCAGTGAGAAGTGTATCAAGACTATGGTGGATCCACAAAGGATTCATCACTTCCACGTATGGGAGAAGTTATCTCACGGCACAATTCAATGAATGGCAATGACACTAAAGTTGTGGCCACAGGGGGATTGAGTTGTTGCTTAATCCAATTTATTATTCCAGTCATTGGTCTAGTAACTGAATACAAATATATCGAAGATAATTGAGGTTGACACTATTTATGTACCTCGGCCTTGATAAGATAACAAATGATTAAAGGATCGGTTTGCACGATAACCATATCGTTGATAGGTAAACTGTTTCACTAAATCTGAATCTATCAAGTGGCCATGATGTCTTGCTAAAGGTCAATCTTGGTCTGTGTTTAGTGAGACGATTGATTGGTGTCAATTGCAAGACTACTCACTGCCGATATTGTGAGGATCCTTCGGGTCACACACATAGAAGACAAATAAAGGATGAATTGGTGAGAAAGGGTATTTTCGTCATTTATGATGGAAATGATATTTTCTTCTTTTGAGATGAAAGGGCATTTTGGTAATCTCACAGTGCAATTAAATTTGATGAGATCATTGTCTATATTTAATTTCATATTGAAATTAAAATAAAAATTAGCGAGATTATGTATTTAAATATATTCATATATTTAAATATTATATATATATTATTTAATATTAATATTTGATGATATTAATATTAGTGAAGATAATATATATGAAATATGAAATTCATATTTGAATTTAAATATATATTCAATATTAATATTTGAAGATATTAATAAAGATAATATATGAATATGAAAATCATATTTGAATTTGAATAAGATGCCATGTGGATTATTACCTTGTTTGGTAGTGAGGATTTACTATTCTAGTCATGGAATAAATTTATTCCTAACTAGATTAGGGTTTTAATATTTGTTGCATATAAAAGGAAACTTAAAATTGAAATAAAATTTTGAGAACAAATTAATTAAATCCAAGCCACTCACCTCACTCTCTCTCACGTTTTTCTCTTAGTGGAGAATATAATTTTTCTTGAAGAAAAATTATGCATTCTTTTTGCTTGTGTGTCTTACTAGCACTTGAGACCGCAAGTCGATCGCCATCCTGTCTTCATGTGGATACTGAGAGTTCACTCTTATCTTAGAGTGGGAGCGATTCGTATCGATTGAATGAGCCTCCAAACGCTGGTATGAAATCTGGAAATTTTATATTCAATATCATTTCATATGTAAATAACATAAATCAGGTATAAGGTTCTTGGGTTCAATGTTGTTGTTGGGGGTTTTATTTTTGTTTTCCGCTGCGTAATCCCCATCAGCGACTAACACCGTCTCAAAATGCTGTCGATGAAATGATGAGGGGGAATAGACATCCCACATCTCAAAAGGGTCTCAGAGGTTGCCACCCATCCTGTTAGGGATTCTTCTAGGAAAAGTTCCCTAGAACCCTCAAGTTCAGTTGAGCCACATAAGTCTCCCTTATGCGCCTCAAATCCTGACATCAATCAAGGATTACGGTTCCCTCCGCAGCCTATGAGCTGGAGACCACTTTGACTGGGCCAATTCCATAGAGGCGTGATCGGACGAGCCATGATGAGAATGCAAAATGTCATATTTACCCCCCTTAATGTCTAGTCTTTTATACTTATTTGTTGCCTAAATGTACTCATTATTATTCTATTTTGATTTAGGAGGCAAATGGAGGCGTTAAATACAAAACAAAACTAATTAGGTGAATTCGGATAGTTTTGACATTGCTTCGTAATCTGGGCATAACGCTCTCATGCGAGCTATGATTGAGATGATTCAAAATGCTGTGGAACCCGAAGAAAGATATCTACAACTTTGATGTTTTGAGTTTGGAGAGATACTCACTGAATCAAGGTTATAATTGGGCTTGAAGTTGACGCACCTGCACTGCCAACGTTCTGGAACATTCTGCCTTGTCATGCAAGTTAAAAAGGCAGTTTATTATTGGAGGATTTGAAGACCTGTTGCATGCAAGTTACAACTGGACACATCACTTTCCTATTTTATTTTAGGACTTTATTTTATTTTCAATTAATTAGAATCAGATTAGGATAAATGTTATTTTAGGATATTAGAAT